ATGGCCGGCGGGCTGGACTGAGCGGACAACCAGCCCCGGCTCCCGGTGCCCCCCACCCCTCACCCCCCTGCTCCCCCCTTGCAGAAGGCCGAGTCGGAGGAGCTGGAGACCCAGAAGCCCCAAGTGAAGCTGAGACGGACGGTGTCGGAGGTGGTCAGGCCGGCGTCCACCCCTCCCATCATCGCCTCTGCCATCAAAGACGACGACGACGAGGACCGCATCATCGCGGAGCTGGAGGTGAGCGCGGGAGGGGCTGCGGGATGCCCCAGCTTATCCGCACAGGAGGCGATGCCCACCCTGCCCACTCCGCTCACGCGTGGCACCTGTGGGGAACACCTTGGGATCGGGGCTGGGGAATGACATCCCACCGCAGTCGGCTTTCCCAGCCTCGTCTGCCTCCCGGCAGGAGCGCGGTGCCGCGGGGACAGGCAGCGCCGAGCAGTTGCACCCTGCCGGACCCCTCGCTGGGTCCCGGGTTCCCTCTCTTCAGCGCTTCCATCTTGGGCTTCAAGCCAAACTCCTTGGTTTTTTAACACGAGGCAGCTTCAGCTGGGGGTTCGCTGGGGTCTGTGCGCAGGGCACCCTGCAGAGATCCCTCCAGAGATGCCGTCCTGAGGCTCTGAACACCCCGAGCTGGCTGTGCCCCGTGTTCTCCCCCGTTTGCTGCAGTCAAGGTGCCCTGGTGGGTCGTGGATGGTTTTCCCCACTGGTTTTCCCCCGGGAGGCCGGGGGACCGGCGATGCTGCCGGGAGCAGAGGGACGGGGTTGCCTTCGCGGCTGATAACAGCCCACGTTTCACTCACTGCCGACGGCTGCGGAGCCCCGGTCCTGGCATGACCATGGCAAGCATCCCCGCAGGCACGGGCTGTGTCATCGTGACCCGCAAGCCTCCCTCCTCCAACCCCCCGTGTTTGACTCCCCAGGTGTTTCAGAGAAGCTCAGCCTCCCCTTCCCTTCCCAAGCTCCGTTACGATCCGCTCGCGGCTGCCGTCTCACCGGCGACCCGGGGCCCACCGGTGCCTCCGTTGCAGCCGAAGGATGGAAGGTAACGGCGCGCTCCGAGCCACGATCCCTTCTCCTCCTGGCGGGCTGCACTTTAACCACCTCCTCTCCCACCTCTTTTTAACTCACTTCTGCTTCTTCCTCTGATTTAACAAACTAATGGCTTCTCTCCACTCCCTTGCTCACCGCCGCCGCGTGTACGGCACTGACACGGCACAGGACCGAGCACTAACCCCCGCGGCAGCATCACGGGGCTGCTGCGGCTCCCCCCCGGGC